GCACGCTGGGATAGTAGAGGCTCGTAGGGTTGGGACGGAGGTAGGTGGAAGTCAGATCATAGGGCATGCTGGAATATTGTGGGGGCAGGCCCTAGGGCATTGTGGGATCAGGAGAGGGGTAGTACCAAGCTTCAGGGCATGCTAGGATAGCAGAGGGGGTGCAGAGCCAGGCCCTAGGGCATGTTGGGACAGCGGCAGGGGTGATAGGCTTAGTATGAGGGGGGTGGGAGTCAGGCCCCAGGGCACTGGGATTGGGGCTTGCACTGACGCCCCCTCCCCCTCTGTTTCTCCCCCCCAGTGTCGGCAGCAGGAGCTGCTGCTGAAACTGCTGCAGCAGGGTGGAGGGGCCGGAGGGGGGTCTTGGGGGGTCTTGCCCAAGCCCGGGGGCGCCATGAAGGCCCTGCTGGACCTGCCCGATGGTGACCGGCACCTGCCCAAGCAGCCGCGGGCGCAGCCCAGAGCGGTGAGTGCCCCTCAGAGCCAGGTGCAAGCCAGTGCTGCTCCCCAGAGCTGGGTGCAACTGGACTTTTTACACCCAGCCCAGACCAGCCCCCCCAGAGCTGGGTGCATCCAGGCCTTTTCTACCCAGCCCAGCCCAGCCCAACCCAACCTCCCAGAGCTGGGCACATGTTGAGGCTGTTGCTGATTCCATCCCTTGTAGCATGGCGGGGGGCTGGGCCTGAGCAGCTTGCCGGCCCCATGGGGCCCTGACGCTGCCCCAACGCTCTGGGGGAGTCACGACAAGGCTGGACCTGGAGGCGTCTGGGAGGAGAGCGGCAAAAGCTCCGGAGGGTCCCTTGCCCGTGCCATGGGGCTGAAGGGCAGCCGGAGCAGCCCTGCCCTGGGGTGAGCTTGGGGGGGCAGGGCAGAGGGCTGTAGGTTGGGAGTGAGGGGCATCGGGAGGTTTGGTGGGGGCAGGAGGCTAAGTCAGGAGTGAGGGGCACCTGGGGGGGAGCAGGGGCTGCAGGTTGGGAGTGAGGGGGTCCGGGAGGGTTGGAGGGGCAGGGGACTGTAGGTCGGGAGTGAGGGGCAGCGGGTGGGGAGTGAGGCCCCCCTGTCCCCGTCCCGTCCCCCCCCAGGGATGGCTACGGGGGCCCAGGCCGAGCCCGCAAGAAGACGGATGAGGAGGAGAAGCTGCTGCGGCTGCTGCAGGGCCTGGGGCGGCCCCAGGACGGCTTCACCCAGTGGTGTGAGCAGATGCTCCATGCGCTCAGCGCCTCCAGCCACCTGGATGGTATGGCCCAGAAGTCAGGGTCCCACAGGGGCCAGGGGGGTGGGGCAGGCGCCTGGATGCCTAGGTCCCCTGACTCCCTGCCCCCTCCCTCCCGTAGTGCCCACGGCCGTGGCCTTCCTGAAGGAGGTGGAGTCGCCCTATGACGTGCATGACTGCATCCGCTCCTACCTGGGCGACACGTTGGAAGCCAAAGAGTTCGCCAAGCAGTTCCTGGAGCGCCGTGCCAAGCAAAAGGCCAGTGCCCAGCGCCAGCTGCACCAGGTGCCTGGGGGGGGTGTGTTGGGCTGCGGGGGGTTCCACAGGGGATGCTGAGCTATAGTGGGGTCCAGGGGAGGTGCTGGGTTTATGGGGGAGGGGTCCAGTGTGGGTGCTGAGGTATCGTGAGGTTCAGTAAGAAGCGGGGGTCTGGG